GAGCTGGAGGAAGTGTCTGGAGAGAGGGAAGTCTGGGCATCTTTGCTTAGACTGCTGCCCCCGCGACCCGGTCCCGGATAAGCGGAGGAAAATGGATGGATGGACATAACACAAAGCTTGCACCTAAGAAGAAATATAGCTGTCTTTCTGTTTGAACTGAATCAGATTCTACTTTTATGAGAGGAGGTTTACAAATTGAATCAGCTGACAGAATGTGCTGATTCTTAATTTAGTTGACATTGACAGTAGTCTCTGTGTCTGTGTGCGTGTCCTGGCAGCTCCCTGTACCAGCAACAGTGCTTGCACTGATGTACCGTGAGAGATTGCTGCATTGCTTCGGGAAAAGCCCACCTCTCCTGGAAAGCACAAGTCCTTCTGCGGACAGTGGCCAAGGTGATGCATGTACTTGTGTGTTTGTGGCCACACTATTCAAATACAGTCATGGCCAAAAACATTGGCACCCCTGCATTTCTGTCAGATAACACACCACTTCTCCCAGAAAACTGCTGCACTCACAAATTCCACACAGAGATCCAAAAATGGACTGGACAGAATTATTGACACCTTTTCAAAATAATCAGAAATAGTTATAATCCAGCATGTGATGCTCCTTTAATTTATAATGAAACTCACCTGTAGTAACCAACAGGTGCTGGCAACATAGAAATCACACTTGCAACCAGTTAAAATGGAGAAAAGTTGACTCAACCTTTGTGTCCTGTGGACCACACTGAGCATGGAGAAAAGAAAGAAGAGCAAAGAACTGTCTGAGGATCTGAGAACCACAATAGTGGAAAAACCTGGACAATCTCAGGGCTACAAGTCCATCTCCAGAGATCTGGCTGTTACTGTGTCCACTGTGTGCAACACCAGTCAGGAAGTTTACAGCCCATGGAGCTGTAGTTAATCTCCATGGACGTGGAGGAAAGAGAAAAACAGATGACAGATTGTAACACAGGATTGCTTGAATGGTGGATAAAGAACCTCGATCAACTTCCAAAGAAATCCAAGCTGACCTACAGGACCAGGGTGCAACAGTGTCAGTGGTTCACACTATCCGTCACTATCTGAATAACAAGAGACGCTATGGTAGGAGACCCACTGCTGACACAGAGACATAAAAAAGCCAGACTGGAGTTTGCCAAAACTTACCTTAGGAAGCCACAGTCCTTCTGGGAGAATGCCCTATGGACAGATGAGACTAAAATAGAGCTTTTTGGTGAAGTACATCATTCTACTGTTTTCAGAAAATGAAATAAGGCGAAAAAGAAGAGAATATGTAGTCAAACACAGTGGAGGTCCACTGTTGTTTTGGGGTTGCTTTGCTGCTTCAGGCACTGGATGTCTTTACTGTGTGTATGGCATTATGAAATCTGAAGACTAGCAATGAATTCTGGGGCACAATGTGGGGCCCAGTGTCAGAAAGTTGGGTCTCTGTCAGAGGTCATGGGTCTTACAGCAGTGAGTCTTACAGCATGGGTCTTACAGCAGTGACAATGACCCAAAGCAGACTTCAAAAAGCAGAAATGGTTCCAGACAATGAGCTGAAGAGTTCTGAAGTGGCCAGCAATGAGTCCAGATCTAAATCCCATAGAGCAGCTGTGGAGAGATCTCAAACAGCAGCTGGAAGAAGGAACCCTTCAAATCTGAGACCGGGAGCAGTTGGCAGAAGAAGAGTGGTCCCAAGTTCCAGTAGAAAGGTGGAAGAAACTCACTGATGGTTACAGGAAGTGATTGATTTCAGTTATTTTGTCCACAGGGTGGGCTACCAAATATTAAGTTGAGGGTGTCCAGTCCATTTTTGGAGTTCTGTGTGGAATGGATCACATTCGGCTTTTTTGTGTTGTTCCAATGCAAACAAAAGAAATAAACATGAAAATACCAAAGAGTAACTTTGTCTATGTAGGTCATGGGAGTGTGTTTGATTGCTGTAACACTGCCAAACTCCGGGGTCGCTCTGCTACTTTCTTCATCCTCCATGCCCTGGGTGGGGCCATCCTCTTCATCACTGATGGCATTATAGTGAGTCTTGTTGCTAATACAACATATCACATATATACACAGAAATACCTAACATTATAATTTGTGCCAGGGGTTTTCAAACTGAGTTGTGCAGTGGGTGTGGGAGAGTTAAAGAGGGGCTATGGAGTGATAGATGAGAAGGCAGTGAGCAAGAGACAAGAATAATCTAAAAACAAGCAGAAGATAGTTATCATAGCAGTAAAGTTATTAAAAATCCAGTAACCTCTGCTCACTGCAGTTTGTATCAAAAATCAGGCTCCTTCTTAGTCATCATAATTCAATCAAATTCAAACACATAGACACAATACACATACTTGTATATTTAATGTGACCTACACTGTCCAAGAATATTTCCAGTGTTCATCACAAATAAATCCTGACAAACCTGCTTAGAAATAAGCAAAAGGTACAGCAGACCTTGCCCAGGAATCTCAGATTTGCCTGAGAGGGAGTCCACAATGTTAGACTTGAAAGGTGTCTGTAGGGGGCTAAGATGCAGCTGTTTTTTTTGTTTTTGTCCAACAGGGCACCTATGCTGGATTTGTCTACACCTATGCAGTTTCCTCTCCTCTGCTGATGGGACATAAGACCGCCAGTTGTCTGGACAGTGTATTTTGGGCTTCCATCACAGTAGGACGACTGGTTTCCATCTACCTGTCCTACAGATACACAGCACAGAGACTGCTCACCTTCAGTCTGGTATGAACACACATTTTAAGTACAAATCCAACCTAAAGTGGGTTTAATTCAATTTAGTTCAGTTTTATTTGTATAGCGCCAAATCACAACAAAAGTTGTCTCAGGACACATTACAAAGTGAGGTCTAGACCTTACTATTATTACTATTATTATAGAGGAAAACCCAACAAATCCCAAATCTTGAGCAGCACTTGGCGACAGTGGGGAGCAAAAACTCCCTTTAACAGAAGAAACCTCCGACCGGTTGGGGTTAGTGGATGGAGGAGAGAGAAAAGAAGAAAAGCAACAAGACACAACAAACAATCAAAAACTGGTCAGGTTGATGTGGCCGGTGACTGCTCATCAGAAACGTAGAGCTTCAGGGCCAGGGCTACCTGCAGAAAAGTACAGGGAGAGAGAGAGAGGACACACTACGGGAGAGAGGAGACACAAAGTTAGTGATGTGTAATGGTGGCAAATAAAAATAAAATGGAGAGGAGAGGAGCTCTACATCATAGGATAATCCTCAGCCTAGGCCTATAACTAAGGGATGGCACGCCAAACCCAAACTTATCCATCCTGTTGACTAGAAACCACTGGTACAGTTAAATATACTCAGTGGCAACAGGACAGCCCAGGCCCCCTGTTTGGTTGCAGTTACCAAGATGGTTGTCAGTCTTATCCCTGTTCAGCCACATTAGTTATGATGCCATGAAATATTGGAAGACATATAACAACATACTAAGTACCTTTCTGCCCTCCATCGCTGCCCTACTAGGATTATATTGAAAACAACAATATTATATTAAGCTAACTATGAGCTTTATCAGAAAGGAAAGTCTTAAGTCTGGTCTTAAAGGTAGAGAGAGTGTCCGCCTCCTGAACTGAGACTGGGAGTTGGTTCCGCAGGAGAGGAGCTTGATAGCTAAAGGCTCTGCCTCCCATTCTACTTCTATGGACTCTAGGAACCACATGTAGACCTGCACTCTGAGAACAAAGTGGTCTGTTAGGATGATAAGGTTCTACAAGGTCTCTAAGATGATGAAGTATCTAATGACACTGTGAGAATAGAACTCAACAGGTTTTTTGTGTTTCCCACAAAGTTGTGTATGTGTGTGTGTCAGTGTTAGTAAAAGAAATAGAACTCATGCACTATGGAATTTCATTGCATTCACCAGAGAAAAAAGAAGATCTTGAGATCTGATGCTCATAATTACTGTATTAATAATTTTACTGTAATTACGAGAACATGCAGGGTTTGGAACACTACAGAACTTGCCTCAAAAACATTAGGTTTTAACAAATTTTTTAATATCAAACTAATTTAGTGATAGTTGTTAGTCCATCCATAGCAAAAGTGAACTATTAATAGTTAATTCAGCATTATTAGTGTTCCAAAATGTATAAAACCCCCTGTTTCTGCCATGACTTGGACTTTTACGAACCCCTTCAGCAGTGACAATGGCGGACAGAACCATCCTGCAAATTGGCCATTCAGGAACTTTGATCTAATCAGCTACACAGTATCATGTTGATTATGGGCTGGGAGATTGTTTTTTTTGTTGTTGTTGTTGTTTGCTTGTGGAATGTGTATGCTTCAGTAAGTTAGCATTGTTAGTGTTATTAGAAACCTTGTGATTGTACGATTACCTAAAAGATATAACGCAAGGGCGTAGGTTTGCTCTTAACATTGGTAGGGACACAGTATTTAGGCTACATATTAGAATCTGTATTTGGGTCTCATTTATTTTTTAGAGCAGTTTTAAACATGAGTGAATAAGACCTTATGAAACCAACTTGTTCTGATTAAAAAAATTTTCAGAATGAACTCATGACCAAATACATTGACTTATAAAGGTTGATCATCCTGAGAATAACTGTAATATTGATGCCTCCCTATAATTCCAAACTACAATAATTTATAATTAGCGCCTCACCTGAACCACTGAAGATGCACCTGTTCCCTCATCAACCTGCTCTGCTTCTCTAGCCTGATGCTGTTTCCTACACACAAAACAATTCGTTAATTGAGGCATTTTCATGGGGGTTCTGGCCTGAAATTCAACTTGTATTTTGATATAGGCCTATCCATATGTTTACTCCTGCTAACAATGTCACTGCTAGCCTGTAGATAACACAAGATAAGAATAGCTTGGTAGCTAACATTAGCTAACATGAGTTGGCATTTTTCACAGTGTAAAGACTGGTGACATTAGGTAGCTAGCAGGTTTTCATTTTAAATTAACATGCTACTGGTTGGTTTGTTACCTATCTAGCCTGTTAGCTACTTAAGCCCTGGATGGATTTTAAAGGCATTTTTAAATAAATGCAGGTCACATAAACAATACCAAACACACTTCACACTTTACCAGTTTAAAAAACATTTAAGTACCAATCACTGCAGTCAAATGTCAGAGATCAAATTGCTGTGCCGTAGTTTCAGATTTCATACCAAATAAACAGGTTTTGATTATGTTAGTTACAGTAAATAACTCTAAAAATAACCAGAGGTAAAACTGTTTGGCTGCCCAGGTACAGTGAGAAATAATAAAACAGACACAAGTCTGACGGGTTCCAGCAGCTACAACAATCTGCCACAACAGTGCTAACAGTACCATGCAAACTATCGCTGCTCCTGGAAGACATTAGAGCAAGTCAGGGTTCTGCCTAACCACCTAATAAAAAAACAATATATTTAATACAACAATTCAGTTACAACTGAGCGAACCAATATGAAATGAAACCTTGAAAATTAAACCATAGTGGAGCAACCAGGTGACAGTTCCAGATTTGTCTTTAGTCAAGTGTGAACTCTGTAATAAAGACACAAAACACCAAAAAAAAAATATTTGGAGCACCTGCAAACAATTCAAATCTTAAAGCGACTATAAACAGTATTTTTACAATGAAATTATATAAAATTATAAATGTGAAAACAATGCAATAACGTGAATAAGTTTTATAGTGGGTTTCAATTTATTGTTGAACTGTTTGACCCACAACAAGCAAAAAAAAAGTCTCGATCTTTTCAGTGGAATAATGTTATCTACAAAGGACGAGACCTCTGAATTTGAATGGTTGGCGGAAGCATAGAACCGCAAAGCCACTGTGTAAAGTCTTAGAAAAAAATCATACAATGGTGCTGCACAATTTTGGAATACGTGCATCCAGTTTAAGGTCTGTATGTCTGTTTGAGGGCAGGGCTCTGAGGGAGTCTTAGACAGAAATGCCAAAGATCAGCAACTAATGCGCTGACATTTTGGGTGCATATTGCCTCAGGTGCAGTCAGAAATGATTGCCTCTCTCTGTATGGACTTAATTCTTTTCCTGTAATTAGATGGGTTTCCTTCCATAAGACCGATAGATATACACACCTTCTCTTGCTCTTCTTTTTGTGTTGGCAAATTGAACTGCAAATGCACAGACTTTTGTGCATGATTGTTCCCTCACTCTCTGTCTGTTGCTCTCAGGTGGGAGTCATAGTGGTGCAGTGCCTGCTGTTAGCCTTCTACACCAGCTCTGTGTTTCTCTTCATTGGTACATGCATGTTGGGAGTGTGCATCAGCAGTGTGTTTCCCTCCATGCTGGCATTTACAGAGGACATACTAGACTACAAAGGTAAACACACCTTCACACACATCCTTATTTTTTTCACTTAACTGGCATAACCGCGGGAAGTAGCATCAAGAAGCCACACCCCCACCTCTAAATGGCTTAAAATGTTATCTATTTATCCTATTTGGAATTAGCACATTTTATATAGATCTAACCTTTCCTAGTGCCTGAGACCATTAGGCTGCTTGGTGCACCAGAACGAGGAGCGCATAGCCATTTACATTGTGTATCGCACCATCTCCACTCACCACTTGAAGTGAGTGACAGCAGTAGTGCAATAATGCCTGTAGAATGACTGATCAGGATATGCAGAATATTTATTACCATGGCTAATGACCTGTTTCTGTTATTTTGTGCCACTTTTGTGTGTCTATTTGACCTCCTCAGCTCAGCAACTCTCTCTCTCATCAAACCCCTCTCATAGCAACTTTCCTCACAATGACACATGAATTAATTCAAAGTTCAAAAGTTCAAAGTGTTTATTTTGTCATATGCACAGTTAGGAAACGTGTTTCCCTGTACAATGAAATTCTTACTTTGCTGTCCACATGAATGCCACAAAATACAAATGAAATATAAATAACACAAAATCTAAGACACTTTAAGCAGCACAGATGCAGCAATATAGTAGGAAAAAAAATATAAGAATATAATGTATGCTGCATGGGAGCAGCATGTGCAGCAGTCAACAGTCATCATGCAATTATGCATGTGCAAACAGAATGTAAACAGTACATGACATATTTCCTGGTAATAAA